TAAAAGCAAACGTAAAGGATCGCAGTAGAATTTGTGTCAATGATAAGAGTAAAAAATGCGGACATGCAGGTTTTGTAATGTGTTTTTTTTTTTTCAGATTAAAAACTAGATTAGGCTATTGTTCTGTACTCTACAAAATTAAATTATGTGAAATCTAAATTTATAATGCTCATTTTTATTATTTTATGCAGTAAATTAAACATTATTTTTACCAAAAATGACAGTTTTTTCCACAAAATTTGCTTTAAAGTATTCCAAATTGATGAATAAAATTTTTTTGTAAAATGTACTTTCTACTGAACNGTTTATTTTGAAAGTGGGGCAAGTCCATTTTTGAAAAAAATGGAGATAATGGTAGTTATAGATAAAACTTGTTATGATCTTTTTATGCGTAAACAATTTATAGTAAAAAAAAATTCAGATTCTAGTATTTGGGAGATGGAAGTTTTAGCTCTTAACAGTATTGAAAATATGTTTATTTTGAAAGTGGTGCAAGTCCATCTTAGATTGAAATTATTTTTGACCGCATATATTACGGCAAAATTTAGCTCCGGTTGCTGTATGGTGAAGCAATGTGGCCGTTTGACATCATGTCTGAAATCTAGGGTGTTTCTATCTATCTATCTTTGATATTGAAAGTCGGTGGTTGTACAATATTTCATAAATAACAAAAATTATATCTTAATTTTGTGTTTCGATAATAATAGGTTTACTTTCAAAACCGAGAAATATAAGCGGAATATGTATGTATTGAATCAAGGCTTCCACAATTTTCATAATGATGAAGTTTGTATGTATGTTTGGGATGAAACTATATCATCCCGAGGAGCACAAGAAGTAGCATCTTGCTGTTTGAAGCACTTACAGACTGTGTTAACCCAAAAACACATTATAGCTTATAGTGACATGTGCACTGGCCAAAATAGAAACATATAGCTAGCCTTAATGTGGATGAAAATTGTTCAGTCTGGTTTTAATGAAATAAATATCATTGATCACAAATTTTTATTTTCAGGACGTTCATTGTTACTGAACGATCGTGATTTTGGAGTGGTAGAAATGGCAATCCGGAAAGCCAGTTCCTTGTATAATCCCCAGGATTACTATAAACGAATACGAAATTGTCGAAAACATAGTGAATTTGTAGTACATGAAATGAAAATTATTTTTCAACCCAACCTCTGAGGAAAGCAGTTTTAAAAAGAAACAAAAATACCGATGGAGAAACTGTGAATTGGTTAAATATATGCTGGATCAGATTTACAAGGGATGCACCATACAAAATGTTCTACAAAACTTCGATAGAACGAGATGCTGAATTTAAAATTATCGATTTGTCACCACAACGAGAAAGACCAAGTAATTTCGGAAATATAAAGTTATCGTTTCTGTATGANAAAAATATATTGCTAGCTAGTATTCACCCTACTTTAAACCATTTACCTCCTGAGAGTTCTATGAGAATGTTCTGGGAAATCCAACACCAGCTGTTCTCAAGGACATCCAGCTGTAGACACAATGAGTCATGGTATCAGATTTCACAGAAAGGCCAGACAATGGAAAATAAAGTTTGAAGCTTTTTCTTCAAAATTAACGCATTTCTTTTTTGTTTTTTTTTTCAGTTTTAAATATTTTTTATGTTTAATTACATTAATATCAAAAATTTGTGGGTACCAAGGGAGTTTAAAAAAATAGCTAAATAAAATTTTTGACTCAACAAAACACCACTTAGACAAAAATATATAAAACAGATGGTAGACAACACACTACGCATCTGTTGTCAATAAATTTCATTAAAATCGATTTTTCGCAGGATAACGACGAATCAGTACTCTGGTCCATTGTCATAACAATGGGGGGGGGGTGCGACAGATCGGTACCCGGTCGTAAGAAGGAGACTTAAAACACCTTCAAACGTCTAGAAATAAAATAAAACATGAGGAAACATTAGCATGTATGAATAACAAAGAACTGTTTACTGTAAATTGCAAACTAGTCGAAAAATGCTTTCTTTCAAACAATAAATTGTTATTTTTGACAAGAAACTGGAGATACAGAAGAGCCACAAATCTTGATAGCAGTTGGACTGATCAGAAGAGGCAGATTGGAAGTGATGAAAAAGGAAAAAAAAAACTTACATTTGGATAAGCTGTCAACTTCCAAATAAACTTGAGAAGAAGAATTTAAATAAACATGAATTTCTTCTCTGAAAAATTTAAAAAATTTATTTTTTAAAATTAAGTTTTGAAATTTTCGAAAACAAATAGTTAAAACTTCGTATAAATACAGGAAATTTATTACAATTAAAATTTTGTTTAAATTTTTAATAAGAGTTAAATAAACATTGAAGTATTTATTAAAGGATTAAAACACAAAAAACAAAGTTTTTTCAGTTTGTCATGTTCACTGATTGGGAACATAACACACCGAATAAAGTATTTATTCGATGTAATTGAATAAGAAAGAAAAGATTTAGTTTGTTCTACATTTTTAATCAATCAAAAACAGTTGGCCATTTTAAATCTAATTCAAAAACTTATTGTCTTTAAGGAATGTTTTTTAAGTCTCCACATTTTTTCAAAAATTTTTACCCGCGCAAAAAAATTTTATCGCGATTTTAATCAACCTTTAATGACGCGTGATTAACGCTTAATTGTTTTTTAATAGGATTTTTTTAAATCAAATTTAATTAATCGTTCTAAAGATATAATCTTTACTTCAAGTTAGTAATGTCTTGCCTCTGTACATCATTTTTTCCTGTTAACAATAGAGTAGTGTCGATCATCTATCTAACTGCTATCAGGAGAAAAAATTTAAATTGAAATAATGTGATTACTGTACATTACTGATCCTGTACATCGAAAGTTCATCTACAATTAATTAAGGCCTTTTGACTTTTTAGATTGGAAAATTATTCAGAAATTTTAATTAAATATAAATCAATAGTTTTAATTAAACTTAATTAACCCTTTTATTGCCGTTTGTCACGCCTCCTTGTTTACGTTTATTTTCTAAAACGGCCAAGGGCAATATAGGTCAGACAAGGTCAGACAGGTGATATTATTTTAAAAATTCACAAAAATTAAATTATTGTTATATTCATATCTGTAGTTTTAAATACAATATTTTTAAATACATTTCAATAAAAAATTCGATAGTAAAAAAAAATTATAATATATCAGAACTGACATCTAACTGAAAAATTTGTAACATTTTGTTAAAATTAACATTCGCCAGTTATGTAGTTTGTTCTTGGAACTAAGCCAGAACGACTTGAAATATTGTTCGGTACATTGCAACATAATATTTATGCATGTACGATTTTTCGTTTTGAAATTATCACAGATTATATAAATCCTTTGTTTGGAATCAAAACTTTATTCTGCTTTCAAATAATATTAGGAACTAATATACTTTATTTACTTTATTTCGAACATAAATATAAAGTTTTGTAATAAACATATAAACCAGTAGTAATACATTTACCATGTGCTAATATTTTAGATTAAATTAAAAAATAAATAATAAAAAAGTATATAAAATATTAGAACTGAAGGTCAAAATTTGAATAGTTATAATACCTTGACTTAATATAAGTGAATAAACTTATTATAGCATGAATGAACGTATTTTAGCAATATTATTATGTAAATCTGCTAAAAATAGAATAAAAAATTATCAAAAGATATATAAATTAATAATTATATAATTATATAATTTTTATCGCGATTTTAATCTACCTTTAATGACGCATGATTAACGCTTAATTGTCTTTTAATGCGATTTTTTAATCAAGTTTCATTCATTGTTCTAAAGTTCTAGTGCACGGATTTTACTTAGGTAAAGATATTTAAAGCTAATTTCTGATATCAGAAACGATCTCCAATAGTTTTTTCAATTTTGTAAATTAATATATTTTATTATATATACGTTTAATTAAGTCGGGGGAGTCGGAAATCGCAATAAAAACGTAATTTTTAAAAATATTTAAAAATATATTGCTAGCTAGTATTCACCCTACTTTAAACCATTTACCTCCTGAGAGTTCTATGAGAATGTTCTGGGAAATCCAACACCAGCTGTTCTCAAGGACATCCAGCTGTAGACACAATGAGTCATGGTATCAGATTTCACAGAAAGGCCAGACAATGGAAAATAAAGTTTGAAGCTTTTTCTTCAAAATTAACGCATTTCTTTTTTGTTTTTTTTTTCAGTTTTAAATATTTTTTATGTTTAATTACATTAATATCAAAAATTTGTGGGTACCAAGGGAGTTTAAAAAAATAGCTAAATAAAATTTTTGACTCAACAAAACACCACTTAGACAAAAATATATAAAACAGATGGTAGACAACACACTACGCATCTGTTGTCAATAAATTTCATTAAAATCGATTTTTCGCAGGATAACGACGAATCAGTACTCTGGTCCATTGTCATAACAATGGGGGGGTGCGACAGATCGGTACCCGGTCGTAAGAAGGAGACTTAAAACACCTTCAAACGTCTAGAAATAAAATAAAACATGAGGAAACATTAGCATGTATGAATAACAAAGAACTGTTTACTGTAAATTGCAAACTAGTCGAAAAATGCTTTCTTTCAAACAATAAATTGTTATTTTTGACAAGAAACTGGAGATACAGAAGAGCCACAAATCTTGATAGCAGTTGGACTGATCAGAAGAGGCAGATTGGAAGTGATGAAAAAGGAAAAAAAAAACTTACATTTTCTTAATAAATTATTGATCATATTATATTTAAGAATTATCCAAGAAAGCATTTCTGTTTTTTTTTTTTTTTTTTTTTTGTGTGTGCATATGTTTATCTATATCTAGATTAGCATGGGTGTGTTATATCTATCGTAATCTAGGCCCAGTAACACTCATTGGACACACTCATGGGTACGTTAATGCAGAGATAATTTAATATATATTAATAACTGCCTTACTTTATAGCATATGCAATGTAACAAAAGAAATGATGCATAGAACTTTTATAGAAACAATATATTCAATACTAGAATGTACAGGGAATCACAGAGAAAAACAAATCATTAATGTACAATTATTTACTGTCACATTGTCGGGCTGCAATTTTTAATTTATTTAATTTAAGATATATGCTCTCCACTTCAAATAAATACTGTAGTATGTTGCCTCGATATATCATACTTTTTCCTTTAACAATACATTTGTGCCGGATCTATTAACTGCTTTCAGAGGAAAGTTCTGAATTGAAATAATGTGACTTCTAGTTTGCATCGCAAGTTTATATATAGTTAATCGGGACGTTCTGCCCAAGGTTTCCATATCTGGTCTTGGATTTCATCTATCTAACTCTGTTCTTGAGACTAATTTGAACAACTACTTTTGTTTCTCAAATGAATGCTCTTAATAACAATTAGTTAATGATAAATATCAATGATATGCAAACTGAAAACAACATGGCGTTTATAGATCAAAATTATTGAAAACAAATTACCTCATGAGCTAACATCTTCCATAATTCTTCTTTTGTCAGAAGAAGTCTCTCTCGATCCATACTGTCAATCACGACTATGAGGAACTGGAAAAAACAATAAATTATATTTTAAAAACAGCAGTATTTACAAATACAAGTCTTTCAATTAAAATATTGACCAAATGCTTTCACATAAGGTTACAATATTAAATGTATTAGTGTTGAAATGCACTTCCCTACATAAGGATCCTTATTAAAATTCAACAAATACAAATATCCAAGCCCAAAATTGGTTTCAAATTTTCAATCTGAGAAACTAAGGACAACAAAGTATCTGTCTAGTGGTATGTCACAGTAATATGTCCTTTTATATATCATAGTGATGCATATTGATAACATTGAACTACAGTTTCAGGCATTATACAGCATGTTTCAAAAAGGATTTTACAACTTTAAAAGCTTATAGAATTTTAATCAGAAGATAATCAGTTGATGCATTAATTTATATCAAAACACATGAAGTTTTACCTTCAATAGTCATTTTGGTTTGATAGAAGTACCATTCATAACACATCATATACCCCACTTGAATTTATTTCATCAAGTTGAAGCAACACATCTGCACTCTTCTCTGTCATCATAATTTAACTACGGAATGAGAATTTTTCAGTATATCTAGATATATGATATTGATGATGGTTCCTTTATCATATAAAGAAAAAGAGCTATACACTATCTTTGCTAAGAGCACAAGACACATTAATTTCTGAACTGTCACAAACACGTTCCACCTTTGCTCATGGATTTTCAAAGCCCTTAATCCTGTAATTGTGGATGTTCGTTAGAAGATAATATTGTCCAGTAATGTCTCAGCTACCTCAATCTGACAACATTTCTGCACTATGCGAGATAACCTTGACCTGTTTTGTATACATTAATACATCAACCAATCTTGTAAGTCTTCTGATTAAAATTCTACGTGCAACTTTCATTCAAGTGAACAATTATTCGGTATCATCAGGAGTGTGTGGACGCTTAGATACTTATAAAAATATGTTAAAGTATTTTTGAGCTTCTTATCAAAGGACTACATCAATGATCTGAGATAACGTCTTAATAAATTTGGATGATTGTTAATTACAAAAGTTGTTTATCTGCACTGAAATCACAAATATTTAAAATATTCTAACTAAATTCTGATAAAATACATGAATGCATTGTGTAACATATAATTTGTAAAATCAACTAGTTTTTTCATAATTCTAAAAATAATCCACCTAGCAAATTTCCTCTAACCTGCATGATTTATTTGTCACAAGTTACTTTTTTTATGATAAATATAAAAACAGAATTATTTTCCTTTATAAGTTTCCTGGTATTTAACAATGAGAATTTGTATTATTATTTCTTCCTGTTGCTTCTACAACTATATTTGATAATCAACATACAAAAGATTATGAATATAATCATCTGTTTATGTTTTTACCTAGAAATTAATAATTTAATGCAGTGTTCAATAAGAAAGTGTCATTATCAAGCATGAATAAAGAAGAAAAATTACATCAAAACTATTTTAAAGTTCAATTGAAATTAAAATTACAGAAAATTGGAGACTCATATATCTTTCTTGCTCACAAAACTCTATTATATCTTTCTTGCTCACAAAACTAATAATATCAATGATATAATTAATGATAATTTACACGGTATCTATTTTATGTAAAGTAAATGTTAAAATGCTTTTAAAAAATTTGAATAACTTGACAAAATGATTGTAGAAAAACTAAAATAATGATTATTGATTTAAATTCTCTTCATACATCAACAATGATTAAATTATGTCACTCCTTACCTTTTTTTCATAGGGAGATGGAGGACAAATTTAAAATTTCAAAACAGAACCCTACAGAAATGTATATATTTTTTGATTTTATGGTAAAAAAACACGAAGCTTACATCTAAAACATTATTTTTATAACATATCTATTAAAAATTATAACAGTTAAAGCTTTGAATTGATTTAAATTGCCCTTTTAATTGTGCGACTGACTATAAAAAAGATGTATCTAAATCTGAGGAAGGAAAATGTGGTAGCAAGGTTCCATATTTTGCCAGTCACACATACATATTGTTATTAAAACAGAAATTCAATAATGGATGATTAGACTGTAGACATCTGACAGTCACCTCCTTCACTTGATATCATCTCTTGATTACTTTCTACAGGAAAACTAATACTTCCTACCACCTACATTTAGAGAAGACACAAAACAGAGAATATTTGAAATCTGTGCACAGTGACCACCAAAATAACATGCAGTATTAGAGTTTTATAAAAATAATACATGTTAAGAAGTGAATCAACTCAAAGCCTCAACTGTCCATTTAATATACACATTATAAAAATATGCTTTAGATAAAAGTTTCATGTCTTTTTTCTGTAGGACCTAAAAATATATACTTTTCTGTAGGATCCATTTGAAATTTCAATATTGTCCCTATCATTCTATGAATAAGGATGAGAAGGGGCATAATTTTATCATTGTTACAGAGCTTGTTTTACTTGAGATATATTGTTATTATTTATATAGTTACAGAGCTCCTTTAAAACCATATGAGGATTTTGCAGTTATGTAAACAAAGAAACACGTAATGATGTAAAAAATAAAACTAAATTTGCATGCTTTGCTTTTCTTTTGACACTTAAGCACTTGAGTTATGCTTTTAATTGTAAAATAATACCTCTGCATTACTGTAGTAAGTGTTCCATGTTGCCCGTAACGTCTCTTGTCCACCGAGATCCCACATGATAAAATGAACATTTTTCCACACCACCTCTTCCACGTTGCTTCCAATCGTCGGTGACGTGTGCACTACTTCATTCATTAAACTGAAATAATAGCAAAAATTCGATAATTAATTACCACAGTTCTTAAATTAGATTATATTAAAATTTACAATTTAATGTTGTTAAATTATTTATAGCACACAAGCTAATCATTTTGTAATTACAACACAAACTAGCATCTAACGTTAGTCTAACAAATAAAATCAAATTACAGTTATGTTCCGTCAATTTAATAATTTTAATTATCTTTACGATATTACAATTAATTTAATTTGAAGTTTCATTGATGTTTTAATTCCTTTTCAACTGTTACAAAGATATTACCTAATTGTATTTTAACTATTACAAAGTGGAACGAGTCTACTAAAACTAATAATAATAATAATAATTTATAAATAGTTTATAATTAAACTGGTAAATATTTGAAACTTACAATTGGTATAATATCGTAGTTTTTCCGGCATTATCGAGACCCACAATTACTATCTTGTGTTCTGTAAGAAGCAAAATGACGATAAGATACATTAATATGAAGTGAAGGTACGTAAGATTAAGATGACGAAGAGTGTACAAAAATACACACAAGATAAAGAAACAAGTAAAAGTCATCTGGATCAAATGCAAACAAAACAACTGTAGTGGGATTATGAGGGTCTTTTTCATAACAATCAGACCATCCAGTTCACAACGCCATGTCTGAATAGCAAGGAACCATCTATGAGGATCAGCGGATCCAAAATGGTTTCAAAACAGAAATATAATTATAAATTTCCAAGTTGTTTTAAAAAAATGCACAAACATTTCAAACAGATTATTTTTATGTACTATTAATGATATTCGATTAACAAATCTACTGTTTTGGAACAGTCTTACCCGGTCACTTGTTTCTGCTAGTATTACCGTGCAAGATTTATTGACAGGAATGCTTAGTGTAACTGCAAATACATGGTGTTAATACGAAGTTATTACGGTATTCCTATTGTAATATTTATACATTTTTAATATTTTGAGCTATCATAAACAGGAAAAAGGTATTATTAATACAGTAATTATTACTCAAATTGTTTTAAATGATGAATATAATATAATATCATCAGTATCAAATGACAGAATCTGATGCAGTTCCTGTTCCTATTCTTGATCTTAGTAAATCTAAAGTTGCATTTAGAGAAATTAAAATATAAATATAAATTTCAAATAAATTGATTTCATAAAGCAAAATAACAGATACAAAATTTTTAACGATTAAAAAAAAAAAAAGGCATACTGCATTAAAAGTGATCTAAAATAACCATAAAATGCAATTAAACACTGATTAAATGTAATTAAATGAAAATTAAAACATTTTTAAGACTTAACGACTAAAAGAATGCTTCAAATTAATTACAAACACTTAAAAAAAATGAGAAAATTAACGATAAAAGCATTTTATGTCTTTGTAGTAAACAATCCAGTGAATGCAAAGTAAAAATAAGTGCAAGAGTGTCAAGGATGAGAAATTAAGTGAAAAAACAGATGTTTAAAAGTACAAGATAAGTACTGAGAAACAAACCATGCGACAATTTTTAATCATTTGAGCTTATCTAGAATTCTCTCATTTTATTTTATTTTTAATAAAACAATGTAATTTAAGGATTTCTTTCTGACAAAATACTAAGAAATTTTAAAAAAAGAAACACAGTCTAAAATAATAATCAGATAAAGTTTTTTTTTTCCTAAGAAACAAGCATCTAAAAAACAGATAAGGTAAAATAATCGTTTATTTTTATAAACATCTGATCCGTAGACTTTACAGTTAATGCTACTTGAATTAATTTAGGAAAAGAGCAAATTAAATTCTGATGCAGACGCTCTGATAACTTTTTTTAAAAAAAAAAGGGAAAATTTGAATATTTGNAATTTTGAAAGTGAGGCAAGTCCATTTAGTTATAATGAAACTCTTACTTTTTTTAGTCAGCACTGTAAACACTATTGGATTATAAACTTACATTATCTGGTACCACAAAATATTAAAAATATATCTATTAATACTTACCAATATTTTTAAATTTATTAAAATGCAAACCTTTAAATATCTCGCAATAACAAAAATTGGACTTGCCCCATTTTCAAAATAAACGGCTCATATATAGATTTTGTTAAAAAGTATCAATTATCAGCAAAAGATCAATGGTAAGTCGATTTTACTACCGAAACAAAATTCATGGACTAAATTTTATAGATGAAAAACATCGAATATAACTGGTTGGATTGAATATAGTAATTTACAAAAGTTATTAAATTATTTCGCAATGTATAATGAATTATTTTTATTCAAAGGTGGACGGATAGAAAAAAAAATCTTTTTAAAAACTGGAACTACAATTATTTAGACACCGATCTTCTTCGGTGTCAAAGATCAGATAATATTTAAGAAATTGTTATTGCCACAAATATTATAAAAAGCATTGTTCTCTTTGCGATATTTAATAAGTAAGTAAAAAATTTATAATTTAAATAATTATTATATTGAACTATTTCCCTATATTTTACATTGTGTTATTGTTAAAATATTATTTTAAGTTGTCGTGTTTTAATTTACTTGGATATTAGAACAAATTGTAAAAATTATTAAACTCTGCGTTATTGTTACAAGATATTTTATGAAAACTAAAGAAATTAAATGAATTGAAAACTTTTCTAAATATTAAAATTATTTGTAATCTTATTTTATAAAATATCAGAAATTAGACCAGGTATATGTCATGTTTTAGATAAAGTGAATGAAAAAACTGGAAAAGCTTAAATAAAATAAACTTATTTGATCTATTCATGTAAAAATAAAAAAAAAATTCGTTTGTTGTTATATTATTTCATACAATTATTGTGTTTTAATTTTATTCGATATTAAAACATTTAATAATTAATATAAAAACTTTGCCTTATTGTTAAAATAAAATTAAATTAATTCAAATTTATAAAAATATTTAATAATTAGTACAGCTTTATTGTTACAAAATATTTTATGAAAAGTAAAATGAAATAATCTTAATTTATCGAAGAGATTTTTGATCTAAAATTATTGCAATTAATTTTATAATAATTAGAAGGAATACATTAAACTTTCCTTATTGTTAAAATAAAATTAATTTTGTGCTCTGAAATAATTCCATTTAACAAATTTTTAATCACATTTTTAAAATTTATTTGTAATTATAATTTAATCGACACCTGAAATTAATTTTGACATTAGTGCTACCCAAACCACTACTACTAGCATCAATCAGAAATTTTCGATAAAAAGCTCGGGAGTTATTAAGATTCAAACTGAGTTTAGAAAAGTAAAGCTTAGCAGAAACTTCTAAATAAATAAAACATTTGAATGTTGTGGTATAAGAAGTGGAAGCAGATTTAACACTTTTAACACAATATGTGAATAATGTTTACATTACACAGATTACAACTACAAGAAGTTTTGGAGGAAGCAGCCATCATTATAATAAATCGGAAAATTAAGCATCGTCACAGATAAAGGCTTTACTTTGTGCCTTAATGTCGAATTGCACTACATTAATTAGTTGAACATTAGAACATGTTTGAGTAGTACTAGCGAAGGAAGTTTGAGACACAAAGTGTAATGTGCATCTTATTCACATGTTAATTCTTACTGTCAAATCTGTCCTGAACTCTACTTTTTCAACCTGGTTTCACCAGTTTTTTATGAGATTATTAAAGCAATAAAACTTTAATATATTGCTATTTTCATTGCACAAATTAAAAAATTTGTTTCCGGATCCGCCATCGAATACAGATTATTGAAATAATCACGACAAAGAAAAACAAAACAAATCATTTCCACTTCAGCAAGTGATATGTGAAAAATAGTGTTACTTCAAGACATTTTCGATGAGTAAATAAACATATTTTAATACATAATTACTGCCATATAATGTTGATATTTTCTATTTTAAAAAATCCATCAACCAATTACTTAACTTTCCCGGAAATATTAAGTGGGTTTGTCTGTTCTCATATTTTATTAAAAAGTTTTTTATATTTTTAATTTATTATAAATGGCAAAAAGCTTAAATAACGTTAATGCTAGTAACAAATAAAATCTTTATTAAGTCTGATCTCACTCGAGATGTGACACGTGCTCTCTCTTTTTCCCCACCCCTTCGACCTTTAATCACCAAAATTTAATAGCATCAATCCCCCAATACACAAACATCCCTGCAGAATTTCAGAAGTTTTTGACAAAAAGCACAAGAGCAAATAATTTATTAAGCTTCAAACAGAGTGAACAAAATCATGCATTCCCACACAATAACTATACATACATAAAACATCTATACATACATAAACTACCAAAAAATTTTTTTCGCAGTTTTTGCCATTTTAAGGTGTCCGAAGTCTAAAAATCTAAAAATAATGAGAGATGTCATTTTTTAAACGATTGCCATACTTTCCCTCTGTCATATAGGCCTATGTGAGATCTGAATAGTCCTGTGACTAATAAATAATTTAGTTATAAAGTTAAATTTTTAGAGAAAAATATTTTTTAATTTTGGTGAGAAAATAACGTTTTCTAAATGAGGGAAACTGATAAAATGTCACTTCCTTCAACGAAAGTTTGAACATTCTTCTGTTTTACCCTTATCTATTAAAATCTCAGCACCCTGGGAATTGTTAACCCCTCGATAAAACCCCTTTTCCTCTGTTCACGTGGGAAAATCCAAAAAGCTGATTAAAAAAAATTCATGAGAAATAGAGAGAGTTTTGCATGATTCGGGGAGTACGCCGAGGAATCTCATAGAAGACAGACGTATTCCATAACATCTTCCGAAGGCCAACGCCCATAGTCGTATCCAACAGATTTTAATAATGAGTGTAAGTTAGTAAGACTAGAAGAAAATATATAAATATGTGCCATTCAAGACCTCCTCATGAACTGAAGTATAAGAACTGATAGAATTGAAGTATAAAGAAACTAAAGGTCAAGAAGAAGAGAAAACATTTAGAGAAAACATATGATTATCATAAAAATTGTGAGCTCTCTCTCTCGAAACGATTATTTTAATTAGTCCATTGTATAATTTTGTTTATTTCCGTCTCATTAAATACTTTTGTAATTTGTTAAAGAAATGTCTCTTCTTGTCTGAATCAAACTTACTAACTTTACGAAGCGAAACGCGTGTTAATCTGCGTAATCTAAAATTGATTAACTGGTGTTGGGAATCCTGACGAGGAGAAAGTGATTTCGCAATCACCTGGTTCCCCAAAATTTACGCTCTCCTATAAAAAGTATAGAAACCGAATCTCGCAATTCTGAGTCGATTAAGTGTACCCATTCTTCGGATTGTACCCCCGGCTAGTCTCACACATATAAGTTATATAATATTTAATAACTTTTGTGCTTTCCCCGCAAAATTTCTAAATTTTGCGGGGAAAATTGTGTACTAGGGGGATTGATGCTAATAAATTTGTATTGTCACTGATAGAGAGGGTGATGAGATAAAGGAAGTTCGTTTGTCATATCTCTAGTGAACAGACATAACCCTACTCTTTATTAGCATTTACAATTTTTTATATTGTACAAAATATGAATTTTTAAGTGTTTATATGTTAGATATTTATTCTGTATAATCATTATAAAAGTTAAATAGATTTAAGTCACATTATTATATTTTTAATCTTTCAATATAATTTGATTAATTTTATTATTTCTTTTTATTTCCAGAAATTGCGATGTCGTCTTTAAGATTCATTTGTATCTTTTTATTTCTGATAAATTTGGGTAAATTTTTTATTTATTGCTTTTTTTTTCTTTAATTTCTTAAATAAATGAAACTAATTAGATGCTTTACATATCAATCATTATTTCACAATTAATCATTAATTACAAAACTTTTTAATTTTAGATGTAAAGATTTGGATAACATTTTACTTTACTTTTTCAAATTTTATGAAGTATTTATTAATTAAATGATTCGAAATTATTTTATAAAATTATTAATTAATATATTACGTTTAAAGCACAATCCAATTATAAGATATTCTAGAACAGGTGTTCTCAATCTGGTCATTAGTGGTCTTTATAGGAACCGATAAATTACTAGATGTCGTTTGAGGGACAGGAAGT